TGTAATAAATCTACTACTTATCGGCTTTAAAATGACGCATTATTCACTTTAATCGATGCAATACTTGTGAAACTAACTTGATTTTAAGAAAGTTCATTTTTTTGGCACACCACTGTATATGGATGTGGCACAATCAGCTAGTGCACCAAATAGTAATTGCAAGCAATGGTTCTGATATTCGAATATACAGATTATTCCGACTAATCGGAATAATCTGAGTTAAAATCTCAATAATACACGAATCTTAACGAATGAACGAATAGAACAAACAGCGAAGACAATACAACGGACGGAGACTTTATTAATTATTAATGAGAATCGATCAGAATATAGGTGGTTGTGTCAATGCTCTTTGTGGATCCTAAGGGTATTTGATGCAGATGACATGAAAGTTACGTATTGTTGACTTCGTTATTTATTTATTAAACATTAATGATCGGAAGGCTTACTGGGAAGAAAGCACCAAAATAATTTACTTAGCCTTAGAAAAATATAGTTCAGAATTAATTCGTTTTCGTTTTCGTTTTCGTTTTCGTTTCGTTTTATTTTTTCGCGTTGTTTGAAAACACCGTATTTTAGTGGACGGTATTTTACAAGACTCCGTCGTATCATGCGACGGCACTTTGGTACTTATCATAGAACGATGTCAATCGCGCAAATTAGCAATAGTAATAGTAGCATTGTTCTTTGATCACTGACGGGAAGTTTAGTTGTAATCCGGTACTGTTTCGTTTCGGAAAAGGTCACAAGCATGAGGATTCTTGTAGCACCATTTAGACTGCAATGGTGCTGCACCAACCCCACGCGCCACGAGTCGCTCCCTATATTCATTGATGCGCTGAGCCATCTCACGATAGCGTTTACGACCTGATGCGTCTTTATTCCCTGACCATAAAAGTTCAGCCAGAGCTGCTGTCCGTGGCCAAACTTTGGAGTCTAGGACAACTCCATCCGACTGCTCTGACCACAAGGCAGCTTCTGCTCCAAGAACATGTTTTTTCTCGTTATCAGTGAGTGTGTAATCGATGTCATAGTCATAAATCCGTTGCCATGTTTTATACGGAGCACACCACGAACCACCGGTCCCACCCCAATTGAATTCACCTACTGAAGTAGAGGTACATTAGTCACTCATTTGTTAAACAACACAGCAGTTTTCAAACTTACCAATCGTAGCGCCATTCTTCAAGTTCTGATTGTATCGCGGATCATTGCTAACCCATCCGCCGAACCCACAATCTAAGTATAAGAAGTCTGCCGAGGAAACAATCACATCATATCCTGCTGCAGCGATTTTCTTTGTATTATTGACACCTTCATTCCAAGACTGAAGAATAACATCCTTGGGAACATCCTTGGCAGGGAAATCAGGAGAAAGAAGTACATCTTCCCACATTACAATGCGTTTATTGGTGGCTTTAATAATTGGATAGACTCTATCCAGAAAATACTGAGCTAAATCCGGATACGTAGCGTTGGGATTCTCTTTGAACCATTCGCTTACATATTTTGAATAATTGTAACAATTTTGACTGAGCTCATCAAATCCCGCATGGAAAAGCTTTTCCGGGAACATCGATGTCACCTCTGATATGATGTTATTGACAACTTTATAAGTCTCCTGGTTGATTATATCCAATTGACCGGGTGGTGGCTCAACTGCAGTGTGGTATGGCCAATCATCATTAGACCACCATGAATCGCCGCAAGCTACGATCTCTGGGTTAATCTGTTGATATCCAGCGCGTGCATGCCCTGGCATATCAAATTCGGGAAGAATACGTACGCCTCTCAATCTCCCATAGTCAATGACTCGCCGAACATCAGATTGAGAATATATTTCATTATTAGAATATGCATCTCCCGTCATTTGCGGATAACTTCTAAGTTGTAGCGGCCAAGATTGAGAATCAACTAAATGCCAATGAAATACATTCATTTTACTCCATGCAAGTGCGTCAATCGTTTTCAATAAATCACTAACAGGATAGAAATTCCTGGCGGTATCAAGAAGAAGACCACGATGTGGATAGAGAGGAGCATCCTCTATGTGAACAGTCTTCTCAATCATTAGGCCACCATTTCCATCACTAACAACAATTTGATTTAGTGTCTGGAGAGCATGTAACGCCCCCCAAACGGTCTTAGACGTAATGGTACCAATTCTATCTGAAAATATATCTAACGTATATGATTCGTCTACTCCATGCTGTAATTGAACTGAAAAGTCTTTAACATCTATTCTTATGGCGGTCAGTAATCGAATATTGTCAACGTTAGCGTTATCTGTTCGTTTTGTAAGATTTATTGGAAAAGGCGGATAGTTGGGCGACTCGCTTTGAACAATCACGCGAGGTTTCCATTGTTCACTCCAAACGAGATTTAATGTTCTCTCAACTGCTTCTTCAAGTATTGGATTTTGTTGTTTAAGAAATGTGAGACCTCGATGCAAGTATATTGGACCTACATACCCCCATTGAATGGAACGAGGTTTAGGTAGTGGATTGACACTGACCGCCTCGGCAAGCAGGCATCGAGTAATGATCAAGACAGCGATACAATATAGTAGATTGATCATACTGTACAGAGGGTATAATTTATGTCATAATGAGGGCTCGCTTTTTATAAAAGATTTGGGAAATGTAACATATTGGATATACAGTACATTTCATATATAAATTCTTCCTCAACCAATCAATCAACAATGGCTTAGTTCGCTCGGCGTTAATAAAAGAGTTGGAGCTATAATTATACATAGAGTGGTAATTATATGCACGATTTCTATATTAATATTTGCTAATTAAAAATAAACCGATTAGTAATGGCAGATCGTGAAATATTATTGCTAGCCATGATTATTTTACACACCTTTAGCGTTCAATCGTAGGTGTAGACAAATAAAGAACGCCAAACTTTTACATAACGCACATATGTATCTTCTACCTAGTTCACAAGTTATATATATTCATACCGAGAGGCTGAGCCGGCGAAGGCAACTCCAAACATACATGACAACAAAACCGTATAGCTAAGCCACTACTACGAATAATCCTATAATCGTGAAAAAGCTTAAATTAAAATCCATAATCGTTATGAAGTTGTATAACGAACTATGTGTCATAACGAACGCATAATCGTTATGAAGTTGTATAACGAACT